GAGAGAGAGAGAGAGAGAGAGAGAGAGAGAGAGAGAGAGAGAGAGAGAGAGAGAGAGAGAGAGAGAGAGAGAGTTGGGTGACATTGGGCGATTCCCAGACTCGGACATCGTACTCGGAGAGAGACATTGGAGATTAATAGATAATTATTGGAGACTACATTTTTGCAGGACTATCCGAGTTAACGTCTCCTCTTCTTCATCCCCTCTCGTCTCTCGCTCATCCCCCTTCGTCCATCGATGTATGTGCAAGAGCTTGGCGACTTCCTTCCATCATCATGTCGGTGTTGCCGAGCTGTTCCCGCACGAGTGTGATGATGGATGTATGCATTCGGTCCTGAGTCATGATGAGCCCGGATCTGTGTGTTTCAGTCTTCCGCTGCATTGTTATTGCTCTTTTTCCTTCGGTAGGCTCTTGGGTTCTGCCCCCTGCCTCTCCGATTGTTTCAGGAACTTCAATGCGATAGACTCTCTCTGACGGAGTCTGGGGGCAGTGGGGGGAGGAAATTAGAAGGGAAGGCAAGCTGACAGTCAATCCTCCGCTTTGCTAGCCGTCAATGCTGATCAAGAGGCCTTCGATCGAACGCAAGGAAGCTCCAGTAGGGGAAATTCAATGGAATAAAAAAAAAAAAAAAAAAAAAAAAAAAAAAAAAAAAAAAAATCAATGGAATGTAGCATTCCTCTCTTTTTAAGGTGGTAATCCTTAATAACCGTAATCTATCCATCAGGTTTCGAACTCATGGGCTCTTTATCAGAAGTCACATTAAATTTTGTACCATTCAGTAGCAGTAGCAGTAGCATTGCCCTCTTTTTAAGGTGGTCACCCTTGCTCTTTATCAGCGGTCACATTTGTATCATTGAGCTCTAAGTAGGGGAGTGTAGTAGCATTCCTCTCTTTGTAAGGTGGTCACCCTCAAGGACTGTGTTGAATGCAGTATTCCTATTACTTGCTTGCCGGGGGAAGTAAGCAGACTGACGCTCCCAGGAAAGGATTAGGAGCCAGGTCCATGAGGACCAACTCGTCCCCCTCTGCCCCCTCCTCCCCTGCCCCCAGCCTGGCAAAAAAAAAGGGATTTAGGGTGGCCGGTTGCTGAAGATTTGGTCGATTTGGTACCGGATGTACATGGACAATTGAGGAAAAAGATTTATAGTATTTATACACTGCTGGGTGTAGATAACAGACTCACGGGGGGGAGGGGCAAACAGCGGGCAGGGCAGGGGGAGGGACAGTGCAGTTGTTAGAGGAGAGAGGGGGGAGAGAGGGGG